GCAGCCAAGCAGGCTGACCGGCGGATAAAGCTGTATGCTGTGGAGAAGAACCCTAATGCTGTGGTGACGTGAGTAGCAACCCTCTGGCTGGAAAGTTTCTCCACAGTGTCAGTTTTTCTTATTAGTGTCCTCACTTGTATTATATCATCTGTTTCAGGCTAGAGAACTGGCAGTTTGAAGAATGGGGAAGCCAGGTGACAGTAGTCTCATCAGACATGCGGGAATGGGTGGCTCCAGAGAAAGCAGACATCATTGTGAGCGAGCTTCTGGGCTCCTTTGCTGATAACGAACTGTCACCTGAGTGCCTGGATGGAGCCCAGCACTTCCTAAAAGGTGCCTCCAGACTGGGGTTTACTGAGTAATGGGATTGGACTATCAGCTGGGAAGATGGTGGGAGTGGTAGGGTGGAGGGATTGGGTAGACAGTAGCCAGGAAGGTTTAAGGGGAGGAGGGTTGGACTTGGATTATTGCCCTGGGGAAATGAAGTAATCTCTCTGAACCTGTGTTCACGTCTATAAAATAAGCAGAGATTTCCTAATCTGAGGACTGTGGACTCCCTGAGCTGCTGTGATGTGTACTTTGGGCTTAGCTTTCATTAAGATCTCAAAGAGCTTTGTGACCTCACACAAGTTAAGCACTTGGTTAGAATATCTTAGGTTCCTTCCAGTTTTAATCCTGTGACTAGACATTAACCTAGAAGCAGAATCTTCCCATCACTGGAGTTAGGAATAGGTTGGCCTGGGAATGTGACATCATAGAGCTGCCTGGGTCTCTGGGTGAGGTCTGGGCATTCAGTTAGTACAGGTACACTATTTCCATGCCTTGGGAATTAATGGTGTCCTCCTGCACTCAGATGGTGGTGTGAGCATCCCTGGGGAGTATACCTCCTTTCTGGCTCCTATCTCTTCCTCCAAGCTGTACAATGAGGTCCGAGCCTGTCGGGAAAAGGACCGTGACCCTGAGGTAAAGAGCCCCCCTCTTCTGGAGGACTTCTCTCTTTAGTCCTTTCTTCTTCTGTATCAGCACCAATTATTTATTCCTCTGCAGGAGATGGAGAGGTGGAGGAGGAATTGGGGATATGGGAAAGTGGTTGACGTGAAAGTTTTCATTCTTTTCTGTGTTTGAGGCTTGAGCTTCTTTCCTTGAAGAAGTAGGTATCTCTTGCATATCTTCTCCAGCTCTCGCTCTCGTCTCTTGGGTTAGGCCCAGTTTGAGATGCCTTATGTGGTACGGCTGCACAACTTCCACCAGCTATCTGCACCCCAGCCCTGTTTTACCTTCAGCCATCCAAACAGAGGTGGGTTCCTGCATGTCTGTCCTGTGACTGGGTGGGTAGGAGCTCACCCTCCTGGTTTTTTCCGTTGTTCTCCTGGGTCTGCCCTGTCTAGGTTTCCTTTGTTCTTGCTCATGCTTTACCAAGCTGTCTAGGACTGTGGCCATTTCTCACCCATACAACTTTTCCCTGACAGATCCTATGATTGACAATAACCGCTACTGTACCTTGGAGTTTCCCGTGGAAGTGAACACAGTGCTGCATGGTTTTGCAGGCTACTTTGAGACTGTGCTTTATCAGGACATCACTCTGAGTGAGTGTCTGGGGCAGTGGATGGTGGGGTATGAGTGTGAACTACCTGGGCAGCTTATGTAAATGTTTCATTTAGAATCACAGGGAGCCCAGTAGTCAGTGAATGGGGACCTTTGATTGTTTTAAAGTAATCCAAAAGATTCCTCAACCTAGTCAAAAAGCACAGTCCCTGAGACCTCAATTTTTTTTATTATCTTGTCCACATAGGTATCCGTCCAGAGACTCACTCTCCTGGGATGTTCTCATGGTTTCCCATCTTCTTTCCTATAAAGGTAGGAATCACTTTTAAAATTCCATAGGTTAAGGAGTAACTTTGGCTGTAGGGTTGTGGATGATGTTTGGATGTGATCCATGTCCTACTGCTGCTCTCTCATGCTTGGATCCCAGTTGTAGATATTAGCATATCCACAGTGGCCTTCTGCCTGCCTGCCCGACATCTCCTCTAGCTGCCCTTCTGTTTTCTACCTTGAGTAAAAGTCATCTTTTAAAAATTCACATCTGCCCTGCCTGGTGTGGCTCAGTGGATGAGCGGCAGCCTGTGAACCAAAAGGTTACCAGTTTGATTTCCAGTTATGGGCATGTGAGAGACAACTGATGAATGTTTTTCTTGCACATTGATACTTCTCTTCCTCTCTCCTTCCCTTCCCTTCTCTCAAAATAATAAAATCTTTAAAAACTCAAACCTTATCCTATATTTCCCCTGCTTAAAACCCTTCCCATTGTCATGGTAACAGTCAAAATTCTGAGCGTTGCTTATAAGACTTGGTGTGATTTGGTTTTAGCCTGTCTTTTCAGCTACTATCCCCTTGGATTACATTGCTTCAGTCCAATGGACTGGCTTTTGGTTCCTGTAATACTCATCTTCTTTCTGGTCTTAGGCTTTCATACCTTTCTCCTTTGCCGGCAAAATTCTTTGCTTGCCTCTTCACCCAACTAGCTCATTTTCCAGGTCTCCTTATGAGCATGCTTATTGTCAGATAACTCTCTGACCTAGACTAAGTCAGCATTCCCTTTTGTAGGTGCCTTCAAAACACCCTGGGCATGTCACAGCATTGATCACATTTTATTTATTTTTAAAGATTTTGTTTGTTTATTTTTAGAGAGAGGGAGAGAGGGAAATATCAATGTGTGGTTGCCTCTCTGGTGCCCCCTGCTGGGGACTTGGCCTGCAACCCAGGCTTTTGCCCTAACAGGGAATTGAACCGGCCACTGTGTGATTTGCAGGCCAGCACTCAATCCACTGAGCCACACCAGCCAGGGCTGGTTACATTATAGATTATTTGTTTAATGTCTGACTTTTCAGTTCTGATTGTTCTGATAGACTTAAAATAAGCTTCATGAAGGTTAGGATGTCATGTTTTATTATTTTGTCACCACACTTAAGTCAGTACATTGCAACATACAATTTATTAGCTCTACTCTAAAACCTTCTGTCTTCTTACAGCAACCCATTACAGTGCGTGAAGGCCAGACCATCTGTGTGCGTTTCTGGCGATGCAGCAATTCCAAGAAGGTGTGGTATGAATGGGCTGTGACAGCACCAGTCTGTTCTGCTATTCATAATCCCACGGGCCGCTCATACACCATTGGCCTCTAGCCCTGCCTGCAAATATCCAGAAGCAGCTTTAGGTTCTACTCCTGCAGCACAGAAGGTGCAGTACATCTGTGGTCTGTGATTTCCCCCTACCCGTCAGAGAGGAGCATTTCAATCTGCTTTCCTGCCTTACATCAAGGTGGGCAAAGGAGAATTAATTACAGGTTCAAGTCACAAGTCTGTGAAAACTTCAGGCCAAGGCATGAGGAATTAGTGCTAGCTGTGAAGCTACTCCAACAGGCACTCAGCCTCAAGCGCCTCCTTGGAATAGCCCTGAGAACATGCAGATTAAACACATTTTCAGCCCTTTCTTCGCCCATCTTTCTTCCTGTTTGGATGGTTTTATGTGGGAAGAAATACAAATAAAAGTGAAATTATGGCCTTTCCTGCTCCCTCCGCCTCTGCTTTCCCACACCTTACTTAAACCTAGGCATATTCAGATCTGTGCCCTTATCCAAGACCCAAAGGGACCTACCTTTATTCCCTATTTGGGGAGCTTAGTGGTTGAGACTCTTGGACTCCTGGGTATAGGCCTTTCTGACTAGCTACAGAAAGGGCTTGTCCACAAAGACCTGTGATTAGGCTTTTGTCTGGGGGAGGGGACATAATTTGTCACCATGGAAAAAGATGTGGCAGAATAAAGCCAGCTTTCCTTCCACATCTCAAAGCTGCCAAACTGTCAGCTCCTTTGTTATCTCTAGAGAGAGAATTCCATCTAGTCATCTCCACCAAGAAAGAACCTATTTTGTTTGAATAAAATCATAGCTTTAGAGTCCTAAGAGATCATCTAGTCCAATTCTTCATTTTATAGACAAGGTATTTGAAATTGGTACTATAATATAAAGTTAGTATTCAAATCCAGCTTGGAATATAGGTCCTTTGACTCTGGCTCTCTGTTATAAGCAGCCAAATTTTTGGAAGTCTTGGGATTGGCGGGTGGATTAAAGTTCTATCCCTTTATGGTTAGAAGATTGAGTACTGCACGTATTGGTCACCTGAGGAAGTTTCTCAAGTTTATTCTTGCAGGATTGCATGTGTAGGGTATCGATTTGAACTGAAAGTATGTGAGCCGTAGGACAAAGACTTCTGCTTCCTAGGTTCCAAGCACTGAGAGCAGGAGGAAGCATTTTGCAGGGTTATGTTCACACACTGCCACAGAATGGGGACGTGGAGCCTACCACGTCTCCTCATGTGAAGCAAGCGCAGTTGCTTTCCACAATGCCATCCCACGAGCGACGTTGACCCCCTTGGCAAATCTATAGGGGCAACCAAGAACGTCTACTATACCTCCTCATTGGTTCCAGCCACGTAGATGAACTAGGGGGAGTGCAAGGAGTGTGGTAGGAAGGTCCTCCGTCTTATTTTCCGCCTGCCTTCCCCGCCTTCCGCAAGTCACTTAACCAGTAAGAACGATGGGCGGCTGCTTGGGGCCCCCCGCTTCCACTTTCCGGACGTCTCAGAGAGGTTAGCCAATCAGTGGGAACGTGATGGTTGCTGAGAAATAAAATTTGAGTTTGGCTCCACCTATGGTGAGGATTTTAGCCAATGAAAATCTGCATTTTGGACTGCTCCCGCGAAACCAGTGAGATTAGTTCCACCGCTTGAATGTTTCAGCGCCTGCGCAGATTGGGGAAAATTCTGGAAGACAGTGGAGCTACCGCCATTTTGCGAGAAGAGGAGCAGTCAGACTGCAGTGCTTCTTTTATTGCTGAGACTCTGGAAGGCAGCCGTGCTTGGCGCCCCGCAACAAACCCGAAGGAACGGAGAAGACCGGGATCCACCCCCGACCGCGGGGACCCGGAACTGGTGAGAAACCCTGAAACCCGGTTCCTCCGCGACGTCACCTGTGCGTGACGTTGCCGCACGGCGCCTGCCCCTGACGTCACAGGCAGAAAATGGCGTCAAGAGCCGAATCAGGCAAACTTTTGAAATTTTTCAAAAAAATTGTTTGATTTGGAAGTGTTTGTTACCTAAATGTAGTCCACTGGCAGGATTTTAGGGATCGGTAGCCTTGTGGCTATATCCTTTACCAATGAAGACTATATCAGGGATCTCAGTGACTCACAGATCTCTTCCAGGTCCCCACCGCTCGGACCTTTAGGCTCGCCCTTACTGGGGAGGGAGCATTGACCCGCCGCTGTCTTGAGAAAACGTGTACAATCGGTTTTCAGCTCCTAGTGTCACCACGCAAAGAAATGAGAGAATTGATATCTTCCCCCCCCCCCCCAACTTTCTGTTTCTGGGAGACTCATTTCAGTATATTGGCCTCTGTGGGCTTTTCCCTCTTTTCTTTTGTGACCACACTTTCCACAGCGAAAGAGTATATCGAGGCGACAGGTGAGGTTTTTAGCATTGGGACACAGGCCTTCGCAGAGATGGTACTTATAGGACCATTTTTTAAAGCATAGCCATTGCTTGTTACACATCATGGGGAATGTTTTTATCTTTCTCATTGTTCCTCTTCTTAATTAAGCTGCCTTCAGTTTGGAGATGTTTGTGCCAGCTCAGTGACCAGACCCAGGAGATGGCGCTACCATCACCCCTGGGACTCCAGCGTTTGGTGAATTCTGCCTGAACTGAGCTGACAGTGGTTCTTCACTCTCCTTTGCCCCTGCAGCAGTGGGGCCTCGGCGCTGGCTTGTGTCTTGACTATTATGATAGGTTCCGGGTGTTGCCATGATTGTGGGCCCCTAATGCAGTTTTGGAGTAGGGATAGAAGAAAGCTCTGTAGCATTTTAATGGATGGGGTTGAATGGCCTTTGACCCATAAATTAGGACAGGGACAGAGTTTGAACACTACTAACCTGAAAATGCATGGTGTTTGGGACTTGAATGTTTTAGGACATCAGAAAGCTACACTAAGCCCAGTGAGATTGCAAGTTAAAATGTGCTCATGTTGTGTATGTGGATGCCTAAATCAGTTCATTCATTTATTTCTGAATCTGAGTGAAAACTTTACTCCATCATTGGGGGGGTTCATGTGTCAACTTAAGTGAAAGTAAGTGTGTGTGTCTTTACTCATTGCGGGGTTCACGTGTCAACTTAAGTGAAAGTAAGTGTGTGTGTGTGTGTGTGTGTGGTTCACATGTCAACTTAAGTGAAAGTAAGTGTGTGTGTGTGTGTGTGTGTGTGTGTGTGTTTACTCCAGCCCTGTACTAGCAGTCAACAATTCTTGAAATCAGAAGTGTTTCACTTAGGGAAGAAAAAGCAGATTGTAATAGATAAGAGGAATCTTATGACGCTTAGAAAATTTGTGTATACTTGGCAGCCAAAGTGACTGAAATGAACAGTTTGAGGATCAAAAACTTTTTAAAGCTATTTTTCCACAATAGGCCAAATTGTATATATTACAGTTAGCCTGGTTCTTGGTATTTTGAAATGTACACAATAAGGTGTGGCTAATGCGACTGATTCTTTTGAAACACCTACCAAAACTTTAATTCTCCAGATAAGTATATTTAAAAATATACATCTTAATATGCTGTGTCCTTTTTAAAAAAATTTTCTTCAAAGTGATAAACCATGAGAGAGCTAACCAATATTGTGGATAGAACATTAGAGTAGGGTCAGAAGACTACTCACGAGCCAGTTCCTCCATTTGGATTTTGTGACTTTGGGCAGTTAACAAAACTTCAGTTTTTTCCCTGTGCATTGGAGCTGATATTTGGCTGTAGCATATATTACCTTTGATTGTTAATTCAGTATTAGGTGTTATTATGACAGATTGAATTGACTGGATTTTAGAAACACGTATTTGATTTTGTTTTGATTTCCATTTTAAGCCTTAAATTTGTTTCCAGGTAATTTTTATTGTTTTGCTCTAAGAATTTTATCTTTGTAACACGCCTAAAGCAATATTAGGTACTGTAAATGATAAGTATAATGATTGCTCTTATTTTAATATTACTTTTTTGTATTATTTTCATGGGTGTTTTTTTAAGATTTTTATTTACTTTTAGGGAGAGGGGAAGAGGAGAAACATCAGTGTGTGCTTGCATCTTGCACCCTCATGCTGAGGACCCAGCCCACAACCCAGGCACGTGCCCCTACTGGGAATTGAGTTGGTGGCCCTTCAGTTTGTAGGCCGGCACTCAATCCACTGAGCCACACCAGCCATGGCTATTTTCATGTTACTTTTTAATGTAACTTTTATGTACTCATTATTTTATTAAATCATCAGGTAGGCTATGGGTTCTAAGGGCAAAAAGGACAGCATCATTGGAGGGTGCATTAGCTGCTTTAAAGAAGACAAAGCTCTTGTGGATATGGAAAGTTTGCTTATGATTAACCTAGCATAGAAATTCTTAAGATCAGTTGTGGCGGGGGGGCGGTGGGGGAGGGTTGGCTTTATTGAGGTATAATTGATATAAAATTGTACATGTTAAAGTATACAGTTTGATGGATTTTGATATGTTTTCACCCCTGAAACCTCACCTACAAAGTTTCCTATACTGTTATACTTTTTCCCTCCTAGCTCCTCCCTACCTACTCTTATCCCCAGGCAACTAGTGATCTGCTTTCTGTTACTATGGGTTAATTTTCACTTTCTTGAATTTTGTATAAATGTAATCATACAGCTCTGATTGGTGTTGCTCAGTTGAGTATCATCTCACAAAGGAAGATTGCTTATTTGATTCCTGATCAGGACACATGCCTGGGTTGCAACCCATTCCCCAGTACAGGCATGTGCAAGAAGCAACCAACCATTGTTTCTCACATTGATGTTTCTCTTTTTTCTTTCTTCCCTTTTCTTCCCTCTAAGGATAAATAAATAAAACCTTTTTTAAAAAATGTAATCATACATTGCATACTCTCCTTTTTTGTCTGATTTCTTTCATTCAGCGTACTTATTTTGAGAGTCATCCATGTTGCGTATATTGATAATTTCAGACTATTTTTGAGTAATTTGTCCTATTGATTTTTTTTTTTTGGTATTTTCTGTTTTTCTTATTTAACAGGATTGTGGTGAACAGACTTGGGAAAGATGATTGCTAGATGTGAAGGCTTGGGGGAGGCAAGAAGTCTCACCCTGCCTGTCTAGACAGAAAGGCTTCAAAGTGGGATTGGTTAAGCCTGTTTTAATCTTTCTATCTAAACTCTAGTTGGTATTGTATGGAAAATGCTTAACGATGCATCCCTTAATTGTTGATGTTGGGAGGGAGATGTGGGAAAGAGCTTAGAGCAAATTGGCACTATTCTGGTATTGCTTTGTCTTGATCTTATTTTTAGTTTTGCCTTTTTACCTTTTTATTGGAAATATGCACTTATTTCTATGATTTAAGTTTAAACCAGTTATTTATTCAGAATTTTGAACAGTAGTGTTCATTGTAAAGTCAATGATAATTTTGTACCAACGTTTTCTCTTCAAATGATAGGACAGTGTCTGTATTAAATTTTGTGTCTGTCCAGTTTCTTTCTAGACTGTTGACCTGTTCTAAGCCACCGAGCACAAATAGTTCAGGTCTGTAAGGTACAAAACTAAACTTAGGGTAAGCAACAGGCAGTAAGATCCCCTTGGAATTTATGAAGCAGAGGTATATTCTAAAGTCTGTTTCTTGGAAGGAGGAGGGAATGTGGGGTGCTGGAAGGGGAGGAAAAATGTAAGTGAGGTTCTTACATATTGATATCTTCTCCTCAGATCTGCTACGATGGCATCTGATGACTTTGATATAGTGATTGAGGCTATGCTGGAAGCTCCCTATAAAAAAGAAGAGGTAATATTCCTACCTCACTTCTAGAATTGGGTTAATAAAAAAACAGTTGTGGATCATCGGTTTCAACATTTTGAGAGTTCTTTTTCCCCGCTTGTTTGTTGTGTACAGTGGCTATTCATAAAAGGCATAGTCTTTTAGTAAGCTGTACTAGAGACCCATACTCAAGAGCCATGCTTTCAGAGTGGGTCCCCCAAAATGGGAGGAGGGCACATAATGTGGGAACAAGTGCTTTGCGCATAGCTTTCAATGATAGGGTAGAAAGTCAGTGTACGTCAGACCTAACTGATTTCTCACTCCTGAGAAATGGATGTTGAATAGGTGAAGTTTTGACACCAAAATCTAACACTCTGATCTCTTCCTTTTGGGTAGTTTTTTCCCTCCCTCCCTTGTTTCCTTTGTTAGGGGATCCAGGTGCTTAAAAGTTGGCTAGGTAATTGAGAGCTTTGATTTCATATGCTTTTTTTCCTTGTCCACTTTCTGTGCCCAATGGAATCTATGTGTCTGCCACCTTAAACTTTGTGATATTTTCCTGGTGAATCCCTCAGGATGAGCAGCAAAGGAAGGAGGTTAAAAAGGATGATCCTAGCAACACCAGCAGCAGCACCAGCAACAGTGTCAGTGGGGGCAGCACCACTGGGGAGGCAAGCAGGTGAGTGGTGTGAGGAAATGGGTTGGCAACTTAGGAAGGAAAACTACCGTGTCCACTTGAAAACAGCCAGAGCAGGGAGGTAATTGCTTCTAAGACTGCTGACTTTTAATAATGGCTTCACTGGATATTGGGAATAATGGTGACTTTGTTTAATGATGTAGTTTAAGCTTTTCAGTATAGCTTTGTGGATCAGTCCCAGCATTGATACATTTTCTTTGAGTAAGATAGCAAGAAGACCCCCACTTTGGAAACATCAGCTTTGGCTACATCTGATGCCTGACAGCATCCAGGGCTGTGTGTAAGTTGATTTTGTGCAGTTGCTGTGAAGTACTGCTAGATCATCTGGGCTTTTACTGCTTTGTGTTTCACCCTGGCCATACTGTCATTCTTTTACTTGGGAGAGAGAATGAAACTTTCACAGTAATAAGAATTTATACTCTCTTTCACAGGAAGAAGAGGAGTCGGAGCCATAGTAAAAGCAGGGATAGAAAGCGCAGGTCAGTTGTTCTGGGGACTGTTGGGTTTTGAGAATTACTACAAATGAAAAGATACCAGGGAAAGCTATACATTAAAGACCAGAAGAGATTGATTGGTTCTTTATGAAAGTAAATAGTTGTTGCCATCTCTAGTCGTAGTCGAGACCGGGATCGGTATAGACGGAGAAACAGTCGGAGTCGAAGTCGAGATCGGCAGCGTCGTCACCGTAGCCGTAGCTGGGATCGTCGTCATAGCTGTGAGTCCCGAAGTCGGGACCGGCGTCGTGAAGATCGTGTGCGGTACAGGAGTCCACCACTTGCCACTGGGTATTACCGTTTGCTCTAAACTCACCTCTGTGCGGTAATCTGGGTAAAACACATGCACTGTGGTCCCTGCCTGGGGATGTGTCTGTCCCCCAGTGATAGTAAGGAGATCCAGTTACTGCAGGGGTGGTATTAAGAATTCACATGTGAGATGAACATGTGAGATGAAGTGGTGGGATATGATTTTCTCCTGATGGGAGACCTGGCATTGGACCTCTGTGAATAAAGCTGGGTGACACAATTTTCCTTTTTGTTGTTCTCTTGTCCTTAGACGTAGGTATGGACAAAGTAAGAGTCCTCATTTCAGAGAGAAGAGCCCAGTCAGGTGAGTTGATCAGGAGCACGTTTTTAGGGATTGTGTGGTATAAATAAAAAGCTCTTTGAGCCAAACTTCAGGAATGTGTAGTACTTGAGGGTAGCTGGAGAACAATGACCAAGTATTGGGGAGGGTGAGGTCTCAGCAAATTTTATTCATTCTTTAGGGAGCCGGTTGATAATCTGAGTCCTGAGGAGCGTGATGCCCGAACAGTTTTCTGTATGCAGTTAGCTGCCCGCATTCGGCCTCGAGACTTAGAGGACTTTTTCTCTGCTGTTGGCAAAGTAACCTTTCCCTCTTTAATTTTACTCTGAGTAGTCTTATCTTTTGTCCATTCCCCTTTATGCCCAACTTAGGATTTCCTTTTTCCCCTGGATAGGTTCGTGATGTACGTATCATCTCAGATCGGAACTCACGTCGTTCTAAGGGCATTGCCTATGTGGAATTCTGTGAAATCCAATCTGTGCCACTGGCCATTGGGTTGACCGGGCAGCGGCTGCTGGGGGTGCCTATCATTGTACAGGCCTCACAGGTAAGCAGGCTGAGAAACTGACAGGAGAAGACAGGTTTGAAAGTAGGAGGTGTGGGACCTGAGCCGTCATCTCTTCCATCCTCAGGCTGAGAAAAACCGACTGGCAGCCATGGCCAACAACTTGCAGAAGGGAAGTGGTGGACCAATGCGCCTCTATGTGGGCTCCCTGCACTTCAATATTACCGAGGACATGCTCCGGGGCATCTTTGAGCCCTTTGGCAAAGTGAGTAGAAGAAAATGAGGGAAGCCTCTGAATGGGGTTGGAAAAAGTAGGGAGGTTGAGTGTCCCTCTTCATTCTGTCTGACCATTATTAACCCATTGTATGCATAGTAATGGGCATATAGGTCCATGCTGGGAAAGTTAGGCTCCGTCTCTCTGTTCAGACTGTTCAGTAGACAAATGAGTCAGCACCATGAACTCAAGTAAAGGGGCCCATATTAAGTAAGATTAGTCAGAAAAGGTATTTTTGGAAGAAATGGCCTTTGTGTCTTTTTAAAAAGACTTGGAGAGATGTAATTGGTGGCTAGAAAGTTGGAGGTATTTGGAACAGTCTGGGTAAGAAAGGTCAAAAGCATGGGTTACCCAAAAGATTATTAATAATATCTCCTGCTTCTACAGATTGATAATATTGTCCTGATGAAGGATTCAGATACAGGCCGATCTAAAGGTTATGGTTTCATTACTGTAAGTTTCTAGCATTTAACTTGTTTATTTTAATTTGGGTTTGTCCACTTGCCTGATGTGCAGCTTAGCTTCATCCTCCTCCTTTAGGAACTGTCTAAATGACCCATAAACCCTGGTGCCTGAAGCTTGGACTAGCCTTCTGCCCCTTGAGATGAGTGCATTGCTTGAGATCTTGGCTTTGTTCCTACACTCTGTCAGTGGCCCTGGTATGGGGTGTCCAGCAATTCAACCACCTTCCCTGGTGCTGCAACTTGCTCTTTGGATAATAGTAATGGTTCCAGGCTGCAGCTAAAAGGTTGGAGGTATGAGGGAGGTTAGGTATGGGCTTTTATAGACATTCTTTATAGAATTGGTATATTTTCATGATGGGGTGGGAATAAGAAGTTACGTACTTCCCTCTGGTGCTACCCTGTTTGAAGCAGGTTTTCCTGGAGAAGTATCTTTATACTTAAATACCACTATAGGGAGAATAGAGAGGTCACTGAATAGTGGACCAGCTGCCTCTCTTTCTGACACTCCCAACAAAATTGTTTCCAGAACCATAACTAGTTCTTCTAGCCCCATCTCAAAGTCTGATAGAAACGTATTTTCTGGGCTCAATCCAGGCAGCATACACCCCCACAGTTACCTGCAGGGTAGAGGGGGGAAGTAGGTTATATTCTACCATTGCAATTACTCACCTCAAAAGTATCCAGTAAAGGCAGGCCAGCTACACCACCTGCCTAGGAACTGTCAGTACCATGTACCAGGCCCTAAGGCAGGTAATACTAGAGTAAACAAAGCCAGCTGTGGTGTTCCTGGTGGCAGGTACCTTTCTAGCTCCCTGTGTGACTCAGACTCAGAAAGGCTTCTGTGGAGCCTTTTTGCCCTTATGTCAACACCATTGACACTTAAACAGCAGACTGGGAATCCTCTTCTATGCCAGGCTGCTACTGATGTTGCTGATGAGAGGGACAAGAGAGTAGAGGCCAGCTGGTCACTGAGTCAGCAGCCCTGCGGTGGGGGGGGGGGGCGGTGCTGGGGGGGTGTTTGGGTGCAGTCTTCCTTTCAACACCAGGATGCGTTCCCTCCTAAGGCTGGGCTCTGGAGGTCCAGATTCCTTGTTCTTAACTGAGGACTTCCTAGTTCTAAGGGCTGAAATAAATAAGGGCCCAGGCACCGTAGCTCTCAATCTATCTCACTTCCATTTTATATGTCCATTTGTGAAACAGCCTGTCGGGCTAGGCTCCCTACAGATAATAGACTTTTTACATTGTTAGGTTTTTAGTGGAGCTGGAATATTGAAGTGTTTGCTATTGAGTCAGTTAGAAAAGGACCCTTTCTGAGAACAATTTTAGGGGGACCTGAGGTCGCATTACCTGAGAAAGAAAATTTTGTGCCACTGCAAGCATGCAGTTTTCCTGGGATTGAAGGACTAGGAGTTAGTGGGACTAGAAGTGTTAGTGGGGCTTTGAGGGCATGTTGTGACCAAGAGATGACTGATCTAGCCTGGGTTTTTTGTAGTTCTCTGACTCAGAGTGTGCCCGGCGGGCCCTGGAACAATTAAATGGCTTTGAGCTTGCTGGTCGACCTATGAGGGTTGGCCATGTGACTGAACGACTGGATGGTGGTACAGACATCACTTTTCCTGATGGAGACCAGGAGCTGGATCTGGGATCAGCAAGTGGACATCTGCAGCTCATGGCCAAATTGGCAGAAGGTAGAGTTTTTCTGCAGAGTGAGGAACATGGGGTTGAATTGTAGATCAAGGATTGGGACTTAACTGCACCTTTTCTTTCCCTTTCAGGCTCTGGAATCCAGCTGCCAACCACAGCTGCTGCTGCAGCCGCCGCCGCTGCCCAGGCTGCTGCCTTGCAGCTGAACGGAGCAGTTCCCCTGGGGGCCTTAAACCCAGCAGCTCTGACTGGTAGACTTGGACCTGGGAAAGGGAGAGAAGGGCTGGGACCTGGCAAGAAGGAATGATCTGTGCTAACCCACTTTGCCGCTCTGTGTTCCAGCTTTGAGTCCAGCCCTGAACCTCGCCTCTCAGGCAATCGCCTCTCAGTGCTTCCAGCTTTCCAGCCTTTTTACCCCGCAGACCATGTGAGTCACAGGACCTTGCTCATTTTAGTCACTGGTTATTTCCTTCCTTTGGCTTCCACTTACCTCTTCTCCTTGCCCCAGGTAAATCAGTGACAGTACGTTGCCTCCCTGTGCCTCTGGGTCACACCACTCCCTTCTTCACATCTACTCTCCTACGGCCCCTTCTCTCCATTTTGTGGACCAAGCCATCCTGAGGCCATGGACATTAACTCTGGGGGAATCGGGGCCACCCTTAGACACCAAGAAGAGCTCCTGCCCATGGCTCCACTGGGAAGGGACTCTGCTGAGCAACCACTAGTTGAAGAGAACAGAATTACTGAACACCTCTTTCTCCATGTTTATCGTCTCCTGAGATGATCTTCATTGCCCTTTTCAACCCCTTCTTAGTGATTCCTCGATTCCTATGTTGGGAAGGCCATAGGGCATTAACTGAAGGAACCGACTTTTTTTTGTGCCCCCCGCCCCCCCGCCCACCACCTTTGCCCTGCAGTTTTGTCAAGGAAAAATCCTTAAGCCCTCTGCTCCAAGAGCACTTTGGAGTTTGGGTGGGAGGGGGTGAACCTTGAAGGTGCTGGCTTGCGGCTGCAAGGTCCATGGAAGATAACTTGGACGTCTGTGTGCATTGTGAAGCCTGCCTTAGACCTGAGCTTGGGGCGACAACTACTGTGCACTCAGCATCTTGCCGGGAGCTCTAGAAGTGATCCATCCTGCCAAGCATTTTGGCTGTCTTGGGGGCATTCAGAAGTTTAGGGAAAGATGGGATACCTTTCCAGTATCTTCCATCTTCTTTGTATAGTTAGTTGTCTTTCCTCCCAGGTCCTCCCTTTGGTCCAGGGTGGGAGGTTGATAGGGAGGCTGCTATTCTCCCATGTGCCTCTACTGTGGGCTCCACCCCAGCTGTTAAAGCTGCTCCTGTCCCCTACTTGGGCACACATGAGCCCTTCTCACTGGATTTTATACCCTTGTGTCTGTGTACATAAATATACATAAATATATATATATATATATACACACACACACACACACACACACTTTGTACAAAAGGTAAGCTTCAATGTTGTGGCGGCTATGTGTGTGGTCTGTTAGTGTGTCTGATGTTAACTTCTAATGAGTCGAAACCATGGGTGGTTCTAGGGACATAAAATGTTTGTAATGCCTTTGTTTTCTTTCTCCTTTATTTTAATATGCAACAATTTTGGGGGGTCTGGGTTTGGTGAACTTTATTGATGGTGTATGACAAGATAGGGCTCTGTAAGCCCCTCTACTTCAGTGGGTCTGGGATGGAAACTGGAGGTCAGGAGATTCTCAGTATGTTGGGAGATCAATTTGGGGCAAGGACCCCCCAACAGCTAAGGGCATCTCTCCCTCTGGCTGGGGCTGGTGGTCCAGGGGGCTCTTAATCTTTGGAGGTAGTCAAATTCATTGTAATACCAGGAAATGAACTTGACAAAGTGTTTATTGAGGGCAGTGCCAGCCTCAGCATCAAAGGTGGAGGAGTGGGTGTCACTGTTGCAAGAGACAACCTGGTTCTCAGTGTAGCTCAGAATGCCCTTGAGGGGGCCACTACCTTCTTGATGTCATCGTATTTGGCAGCTTTCTCCAGCTGGCAAGTCAGACCTACAGCAGACATACTGAGGGTGGGGACACAGCCATGCCAGTGAGCTTTCCATTCAGCTTGGGGTGACCTTGCTCACAGCCTTGGCAGCACCAGCAGATACAGGGATGATGTTCTGGGCTTCCCCCCAGCCATCACACCACAGATTCCAAAAGGAGCCACCCACAGTCTTCTGGGTGGCAGTGATAGCATGCACTGTGGCTGTGAACCCTTCTATAATGCCGAAGTTGTCATGGATGACATTGGCCAGGGGGCCAAGCATTTGGTGGTGTGGGAAGAATTGCTGGCAATCCTGAGTAATTACCATACTTGCCATGGTTCACATCCATCGCAAACATGGGGGCAGCTGCAGACGGCAGAAATGGCGACCCTCTTGGCTCCAGCCTTCTCTAAGGTAGTGAAGACACCAGTGGACTCCACAATGCATTCAGCAGCAACATCACACCATCTAATCTTTGTGGTATCTTGCTCCTGGAAGATGGAGATGGACTTCCATTGATGACAAGTTTCCCATTCTCAGCCTTGACTGTGCCTTTGAATTTGCCATGAGTAGATTCATACTAGAACATGTAGACCATATAGTTGAGGTCAATGAAGGGGTCATTGATGGCGGCAATATTCTCTTTGCCAGAGTTAAAAGCACCCCTGGTAACCAGGCACCCAGTATGGCCAAATTCCTTTACGCTGACCTTCACTTTTGTGTCTCAGGGTTGTGGCTGTCTTGTTGAACAGGAGGAGCAGAGAACCTGTAACCTTCTTTAGGAAGGAGGACAAAAGGCATCCATATACCTGTGTACAGGTACATTATCTGTATCTGCATTACACTCTGCCCCATTGTCTCTCCGGACATCTTCACTATCTCCAAACCTACCTGCCCACTGAAACAGACTTCAAGCTGTCTCTTGTGCCTAAAGACAGATCTTGTCTTTCCACCAGGTGGCAGTGTGACAGTAGCACGCTTGCACCTTTCTTTAGGGGTGTTTTATGATCTTGAGGAGCTTAAATGTCACAGAAGCCTCCAAAGCTCACCAGTCTTAGCATTGGCCTCCATACTGCCTTTAGCCTTGTTTGTAGCAGAAATCACAGTCCAATATCCAAAGAAATTTGGGCACCATGCATCAGGACTCTTCTGGCCTTAAATCGTCCATTCTCCCAGTCATCTCAACTCTTGCTTTCCATACATAACTCTGCCTAGGACCAGTGACTTCCAGGGAGCTGAGTACTCCAGGAATGGCCCTACCAAAGGAGAGAGACACCTTCCCCTGCCTGCTTTGTAAGGCTTAATAACAGGTGACCTTGTCAGAGCCTGGCTCACCAGCTGGAACCAGCCAAGAAGAGGAGGTCAGGGGCAGGGCTCTGTGGGGCTCCTTCATTCTTTACTGGTCTCTATGGCAACAGAATGTTAAGACTTTATTGTCTTGCTAAAAATATGGATAATTGCTGTTAGGTTTTAATTTGTCAGCTCTCAGACTTCTAAAGCAGTGTGATAGGTTTTTTGGTGATGTTAACTTCGGGAGTTGCTTTTAATACCAACGTATTAAGTACTCAAAGCCTGTTTGTAGCTTAAAAGACCACTGGGACCCAGGACTAACAACTGATTCTCCTAGGCTGCTGCAGTCTCACTTGCTGCTGCTGTGTCTTTTGTCGCCTCCCCCCACCCTTCCCCTATCCTAGTTTGTTCTCTGGACATTGGGGAAGGGAAGGAGGGTGTATTATTTTTAGGTAGGAGCAGCTGGCTATGTCCCAGTCCCCCTATATTTATTGATTTGACTGCTAATGCATCCTGAGAAGCACAGTGTAGACCATTTTTGTTAGTCATCCTGAAGCTATGGACCAGGCCTCCTCATCACAGTCTTGAACTCCTACATACTATAAATAGCCACAGGCCTTCTTGCCCTCCTCAGATGGGCCTTTGTTTCTGCTTGGTTTCTTTATGTTACCATTTCTACCTACTTTGGGCTTTCTGCACTTTGGCTCCTTTCACCTCAGTTCTTCCTTGCCTGTTGGTCTTGCCTCATACATCCTTGTGCTGGGACAGAAACAAGGGTGCAAGTGAAGGAATACGGCTTCTCTAATCTTAACCTATGTAAGATTCTGTCTAGTGGATGACAGCCAGTGTCACTGTGTATGACTCGGTGCTTAGTCATCCCTTTATTGGGGGTGGTTGGAGTGGAGAAAAGGGGGCAATAAACAGCCTCTGGGCCCAGCCTAAAGTGAAAGAAATCTCCCTCAACCTCTTTTGCCTGAGCATGGCTGCCAGGGTCCAGACAGAGGTGAGACTGTGACCCAGATTCTTTCCCAGCATGGTTGGAATTTCCTTACTAGTTCTCAACTCAAAGAGATTTTTCAGCCCTAGCTGGTGTGGCTCAGTGGATTGAGCACTGACCTGAGAACTAGAGAGTCATTGGTTTGATTCCCAGTGTAGGGCCCATACCTGGGTTGCAAGCCCCATCCCCAGTGGGGGGAGGGGGCGTGTGAGAGGCAACCATGCATCGATGTTTCTCCCTCTCTTTCTCCCTCCCTTCCTCTCTCTAAAAAAAAATAAAAACTTTTTTTTTAAAGTGCAAAATTTTTAGAAAAGATTTTCACCTGACTTTTGCTTATAGCCTATGCTTCTGTCTTCTTGAAGGCAGTGGCATTTCCTACCTTTTCTTTAAATTGTTTTTATTTTATTTTTTCTAGAGAGTGCGAAGGAGGGCTCGGGGAGAGAAGAGAAACACTGATTTTTGTTCCACTTACCTATGCATTTATTGGTTGATTCTTGTGTGCGCCCTGACTGGGGCTATCACAGCCTTGGCTTATCCGGGTCAATGCTCTTATCAACTGAACTACCTGGTTAGGGCTCCTTCCTTTTCTTTAAACTTCTGTGTTCTTGATATTGGGATTCAGGAAGTAATACTTGGACAATTAGAAGATTCTGTCCTGGCTCCAAAAAGTGAGGTGTTAGGAGGTGGTATAATGGTAAAATGTTAACATTTATGCAGAATTTGTTTGGGTTAGGCACTATTCTAATCACTTTATATTACTAAATCATTTCATCTGCCAGTGATCCTCTGAAGTAAATTCTTTTATTATCTTTACTTTGTAAATAAAGAAATTAATACCCAAAGAGGTTAAATAACTTGCCCCAGAATTATAAAGTTAGCAAATTCAGGATTCCAGTTCAGGCAGTAGAGCTTCAGATGCCTTGATCTTAATCTTCACCTGCCTCTCAGCACCATGGAAGCCAAGGCCTTGAAGTCATGGCAAAGTGAAGCCGCCTCTCCTCTTGAAGGGGTGAGGAAGGAACAGATAAAAGGAATAGTCGCTTTTCCCGTCTCTATACCTATACTTCTTAGGATATCCTGAAGTATTCTACTTCCATTTCTGCTCATTTTGTTCTCTCCTCC